GACGGATCTCTCTGCCGACTTTCAACCACAACGTCGAGGACTGGCTTGACCATGTGGAAGCAGCCCTCGCCGGCTCACGAGCGACCGACGGGCAAAAGTATTGCGCCCTGCTCTGTGCCTTGCCCACGGAAGTGGCCATGCGGGTCTCCCAAACCATTTCCAACCCTCCAGATCACAACAAATTCGCTACCCTGCGGGCTGCCTTGAAGACGTGTTATCAACAGACCAGCCCCAATCTCCTGCAAGATCTATCCTCTACCTCCCTCGGGAACTCAACCCCGGGACGTCTCTGGGAGGAGATGTGTCGGCTGAACTCCCATCACACAGACAGACTCCCCGACTCTATCCTGCGCCAGCTTCACGCACAAAAGCTACCCACAGAAGTACGCAACATCCTGTCCGCAGTAGATTACTCTACGACACCGGAACTATATGCAACCGCGGCAGATAGAATTTTTAAAGAGTGCGCTGCTGCACCCCTTGCCTCCACGGTCACACCAGTACCTACCATCGAACTTGTAAGCCGGGTCAACACCCCTCAGCCGAGCAATACCTCACAAGACATCAAGGACCTGTTGCAAATTTTGAACCGCAGGATGGACACCATTGAGCAGTTCTGCTCCTCCATACCCGCTGCTGCGCCGGTTCCTGACTCACACACTACGCCCTACAAGTTCCGACACACAGCAGCCAACCCCCAGCACAACAAATTTACCCTCTGCTGGTATCACCAGACTTTCGGCCGCAATGCTCGAAACTGTGAGCCCTATTGCACCTATTCGGGAAACGGCAACACGGGAGGCTGGTAGACGCCTCAGCCTCCGTCCCTCCAGGCGTCTCATTACTGCGCGTCACCGACCGCACCTCCGGCAAGAAGTTCCTCATCGACACCGGTTCATCGGTCTGCCTCATCCCTCCCTCACTACGAGACAAGTCAAAGCAACCCTCGTATGACCTGTTCGCTGCCAACGGTACCTCCATCGCCTCCTACGGCGTACGCACCCTCGCCTTAGACCTCGGTCTGCCCAAGACTCTGCGTTGGTTATTCGTGATAGTAGACGTGTCTCAACCCATCCTTGGTTTCGATTTCCTCACCTTCCACAAGCTCGGCGTCAAACCAAGTCATCTATGCCTCATTCATGAGCCTACAGCACGCAAGATCTAGGGTTCTCGTGCCAGACACACGGACGCTATCACCTGTCTTGCGCCTTCCAACGAGTTCTCCTCCCTGCTCGACGAATTCAAGGAGCTTTTTTCACCCCGAGTCTCCCTACCCCCACCACCCACGTCGGGAATTTTCCACCACATCGAAACCAAAGGACCACCAGTCTTTTCACGCCCTCGCCGCCTGCGCCCTGAGCTCCTGTACACAGCCAAAGTAGAATTCAACAAACTACTGCAAGACGGCATCATTCGCCCTTCAACGAGTCCCTGGGCATCGCCTCTTCACATGGTTCCTAAGCGAACACCCGGCGAGTGGAGGGTGTGTGGCGACTACAGAGCCCTGAATCTCATCACCAAACCTGACAGGTACCCTATTCCGCATGTCCAGGACTTTCACCACAAACTTCATGGCAAGACTATCTTCTCGAAGATCGACTTGGAGCGTGCTTTCCACCAGATCCCAGTAGCACCGGCAGATACCCAGAAGACAGCCATCACCACTCCGTTCGGACTCTTCGAGTACACTTTCATGAGTTTTGGCTTACGCAATGCAGCACAGACTTTCCAGAGGTTCATGGACCATATGCTTCGCGACCTCGATTTTGTCACCGTCTACATTGACGACATCCTCGTCGCATCTTCGACGCCTGCCGAGCACCGCCACCACCTACAACTCCTTCTCCAACGCCTGCAGAACAACAACATGAAAGTTCATCCTGCTAAGTGCGTCTTTGGAACCTCGGCCATCGATTTCCTCGGTCACAGAGTCTCGCCCAGTGGCATACAACCCCTACCACAGAAGATAACCGCGATTAGGGAATTCCCCAAACCTGAAACGGCGAAGAAACTCCGAGAGTTCCTGGGTTTAGTCAACTACTACCACCGCTTCATTGACAAAGCTGCCACCGTCCTAGCCCCCCTACACGACCTTCTCAAGGGACGCCCAAATAAGTCTCACAAGTCTCTCATGTGGACTCAAGAGGCTACTACGGCATTCACCACTATCAAACAGCACATCACACGCCTCACCCTCCTGGCCCACCCTGCACCTAACGCCCGGACCACTCTCACAACAGACGCTTCTTCTACTGCAGTGGGCGCCGTCTTACAGCAGGAGATCAACGGAATTTTCATGCCCGTTGCTTTCTTCTCACAACGGCTTCAACCACCACACCTCAAGTACAGCGCTTTTGATCGAGAACTCCTGGCCATATACTTGGCTGTCAGACATTTCCAACACTTCCTCGAGGCCCGTCAGTTCACTATCTTCACTGATCACAAGCCCCTCGTCCACGCCTTCGCTTCAGCTTCCCAGTCACATACACCTCGTGTCCTGCGCCACTTGGCTTACATCTCGGAGTTCTCCAGCGACATCCAACACATTAAAGGCAGCCACAACGAGATCGCCGACGCCCTCTCTCGTTGTATATCCACCATTCTTCCCTCATCTCCACCCATTGATTATGGGCAGCTAGCCGCGGTTCAAGAGAAAGACGAAGACCTGGCAGCATACAAGGCATCCCCCTCAGGCCTCATACTCCAAGAACTCCCTGTTCCTGGCACAAAGATAAAATTGTGGTGCGACGTATCCTGTGGATAGCCTAGACCGTTCGTGCCTCACGTCCACCGCCGCGCTGTTTTCGACCGCATCCATGGTCTCAGCCACCCGGGTGTGCGGGCCTCCCAGCGCCTCCTCACGCAACGTGTCGTCTGGCCCGGCATCAAGTCTGATACTAAGAAATGGGCTGCCCAGTGCCTGGCCTGCCAGTCCTCCAAAATACATCGTCACATACGGGCCCCCTTACAAGCCTTTCCTATTCCCAAAGGACGTTTTCAAGTAGTACACCTCGACATCGTGGGACCTCTTCCATCATCCTACGGTAGCACCTACATCTTCACCTGCATCGACCGTTTCACCAGGTGGACAGAAGCAATTCCCATGCCCAACGCTACAGCAGAGACTACTGTCCGCGCCTTCATGTCCGGTTGGGTTTCCCGTTTTGGCCCCCCCGCAACCGTAATCACTGACCGAGGAGTACAGTTTGAGTCACAACTCTGGCAGCACCTCCTACAGTTCCTCGGCACGTCTAGACAACGCACTACAGCATACCATCCTCAAGCCAACGGCATGGTAGAACGTTTTCACCGGCAGCTGAAGGACGCACTCAAGGCACAGCACGACCCTTACAGCTGGACTGATGCGCTTCCCTTAGTGCTCCTCGGCATCCGTGCATCACACAAGGAGGATATGGACTGTAGCCCAGCAGATCTGACACTAAGCGAGCCCCTTCGGCTACCCGGGGATTTCTCACTCCCTCCTGATCCCAACCAAACCACTCCAGCCGTTCGTCACGACTTACTCCAAAAGCTACGACAAGCAGTTTCTGCATTCAGAGCTACTGCTCCACGCCAGCCTCCTCGGCGCCCTGAACACATCCCTCCTGCACTACTCACAGCCGAGTATGTTTTCGTCAGGCATGATGCTCACAGCAACCCATTACAACCCCCCTACGATGGACCCTTCCAGGTGGTTACCAGTTCGGCAAAGTTCCTGACAATTATCCGGAATGGCAGACATGACACCGTCAGCATAGACCGAGTCAAACCGGCCACCTTACCCGTCGGGCCCCCAGCCCAGCAGCACCATCAACAAACTACGCCTGCACCAGTCCACCCGCAGTTACCACCGGCAGCAACACCACGCCCACGACATTTCTGGGCACCCTCTTTTCACCCTCATGTACAACCTGCTCCTGTCATAGAACCTGCACCTGTAATAAACCTCCCTTCTATCATAGAACCTGAACCTGTAATAAACCTCCCTTCTATCATAGAACCTGCTCCTGTCATAGACCCTCCTCCTGTCATAGAACCTGAACCTGTAATAGATCTCCCTTCTATCATAGAACCTGCTCCTGCCATGGACCCTCCTCCTGACGCAGCCCCTGCAGCAGCAGGAGCACAACAACCATTGCTTGTACAACCTCCTCTAATCCCAAACCCTCTTTCTCCCCCTAATTCTCCCACAGGTTTTGTGTCACTGGATGGAGTTGTTACACGTAGCGGTCGAGTCGTACATACACCTGCCCGGTATGTGTTATGTGTGGGACACAACCCGGACAACATCCAGCCTCCCGCCGCGCCGGGAGGGGAGGGGGAGTATTGTAGTGGACGTCTCCCCTACAAACTGGTAGCAGTCACCACCTGCTATCACATTCCAACGTGCCGTTTCCTAGCAACGAAACTATTCACCGGCGACTTCTCGGGTTTTCCCAACATGACTCATAGCGGCTGCTGGGTATATAAGCTCTGTCTCTCCATTGAGATTCATTCTGCCCATTTTCCTGAACAAGCAACATCTCCTCCAGCAAGCTCCACGCTGTTAACATTTATTCAACCAGGAGGCCAGCAACAGGCAACATCTTCTCTAACGAAGCTCCTGCACATCTACCTCCACAACACGCTACTCACCGAACGTCTTCTACTGAGCAGCTCCCCACCACACGGCATCTCCAGCACCAGACTGTCTTCATATAACTTATATATTATTCAAGAAAACCACATTAGAGTTTCCTTCCATCCTGAGTGCTAGACAACATTAATATCTCGATACCTCTACAAGACCAAAGACCCCAAATATTAAAATGTGAGTAGGCCTATCTCCTCTTTAATTATCGCTAATTTTAATAGTTTAGACATTCATATACTAGATGTATCCATAATTCTCTACAAATAGTGTTTACTATATTTTAATGGGAATGGTAGAGACGCCTAGGGAAATTTTATGTCAAAAAGAGAAATTTTGAGGGCGCTGCTAGGGGAATTTGGCCGAGTGAACCTGGCAATACTGGGCCGCCAGTCGTCAAAACAGTAAGCGCGCTGTGAGATATTGGAGGAACTTATCGGTCGGTCTGCTATTATTCTCGCCATTTCTCTTTTTCTGGACTGGATTTCATCAAAGGTAATACTTGGACATGTTAACCTTCTTGTGCAGTAAGGGTGGAAATGATCATATATCTGGATTCATGAATTTAGAGTAGTTAAATGATGAATATAATTCATAGCATGTTTTTCGTTGTTCAGCCATTGTTTGTTAACTTTCAGTAGCTCACAAACACCGATGTATTGGATAGATTTATATACCCTGTATAATATGTACCATTGCAAACGTATATAAATGGTTTCAAATATATTACAGGGGTTTAAGTAAGTATTCTAGTATTTATTTTCATTGAGTGAAGAAATGTTGGTTATACGATATATGCACCAGGGATACACCCCATTTCGTCACCAATAACAAATCCGTTTCGTCACCAGTAACAGTCGTTGGTATTAGTGACAATTTGTAAGTTATTATTTTACAAGAATAGAAATTACACATTACACACAGACGACTCTAGAAGTATTGTGTTGTTATATTAATTATTTAATAAAGAGAACGACTAAAACATTGGTAAATAAACCAAATGCAGAACAATGAAGAATTATTGTTAATACTCTACATGAATATTAATTGTTTTGTGAAGAAAACGATGCAACATTGGTAAATAAACAAAATACAGAACAAATGAAGGTGATTTTGGCACCAGCGCATAAACCACCAAGCGGTGAGATCATTGCAGGCATATTAACAATGTTTTTATTGGTTAATGTAAAAAACTAACCCGCCAGGGCTGCACAGCACCGACGCAGCCGTATCACGTCCGGCAAATGCCTCAAATTGCATCATATCATGGGAAGTTCTTTCTGTTTAATATACTGGGGAAGTTAAGTAAGGTTAGGTAGGTCTGTTCTTCATGCCCACAAACGTTAAGTAGCATTATTTTAAAATATTCGTTTTTTAACATATTTCCATAAACTACAGCAGTGTCCACTATAATATAACAATGAAAATCCGGTGCTTTTATGGTTGTTCTCAGTCATTATCGCTCGTGGGTTAGTCCTTTATAATTACTTTTTTATTTTTTATTTTCGTCTTTAATAAATTTTCATAGTGTTTTTTATTATGTTTTATCCCAGGCAACAGTTATTTTCATGTACTGTAAATATTGATGGGAATGAACGCGGTGACATTAGGTCAGGCTCTCTTTGGTTCTATGCATTATCGTGTTAATTTATATGTTAAACAACTTACCCTAATATTGAGGTTGATATACACCAGCAATGGTGAGGAGGAATACGTGGAAGCATTCACCATCATTTAGGAAACGTCTCTTGAACAGGTATTCAGCGAGGTAAACAACAAAAATAGCACCGGGAGGAGAATTGTGAAGCAGGATAGAGTAAATAAAAAGTTTGTCAGGTTCTATTAGGTTCTATGCATTATCGTTTCCATTTCTGTGTTTAATATCATGTTATTAGCATTATGAAAAATACATGAAGAAAAAAAAAATTATATATATACTGTATATACTCGTCTATAACCCCCCTTCGTATATAGGTCGACCCCGATTTTATGACCAAGAAATCGTTAATTTATGATATTCCTCGTTTATAGGTCGACCCAAGTTTTTGAGGGTAAAGGAACAACAAAACCTTCAGAGAAACACTACGTCCTATAAACTTGTTTACCATTTATTATTACGACACTTTACACTGAAACGCAGGTAGTTTCAACAAAAATATTGTATATTTCCATTCAAGTATTTATTCAAGTCAATTAGGAGGGAATATTATTGTAATACAACAGTTTTTTAACCAAACCATTCGAAAAGTGATTACGGTAACATCTTTTGAAGGAAAGAAAGCCAAAGTCATTGTTTTCGTCACGATTTTATCCTACTTTCCACTGTAATACGTACGTCATTTCAGCAAAAAATATTACATTTCCGTGAATGTAGTATATCAAGCACAGTATGAATAGAATATCATTGTAATATAACAGAATTTTAACCGAAAACTATTAAAAAAACGAATAACATCTCAAGAACATCGGAAGCTTAGGTAAAGTCTTTTGTTTTCGACATGTATTTTATCCTATTTTACATTGAAATACATCACGTTTCAGCAAAACTACTATTTATTTCCGAGAATATATTCATTCAGGCGCAGTTTAGGTAAAATATACGTGTGATGTAATAGTTTTTTAACTGAAAACGATTCGAAAAACACGTGTACCCTCTAGCCCTGTTCAAGGAGAGGACTGGGAGAAGCTGTTTGGTGCTGCAGACGATGACAAGGAAAATGATTTTGATGGATTTTAATGAAAATATTCAGAAATATGGTATCGTAATATTTATTCAAGTCAATTAGGATATTATTGTAATACAATACAACAGTTTTTTAACTAAACCATTCGAAAAGTGATTACGGTAACATCTTTTGAACGAAACAAAG